ATAGTCCTTTCGAGCTGGTCGATCTGTGTTTGGCGACTGGGCTTGTTGGGTACATCCGAGACTTTTGGCTGTAGATCTGCCGGGATTTGGTGATGTATGATGTAGAACAGAGAAGCATGGTGGACCTTTTCCTACCCTTTCAATAGTCTAGGCACAAGAATGTTGTCCGGATGACATTCAGTCCACATCACCTGGGTGGCACGAATTTCGCCAGCATAATTGTAATTCGAGCGAGTGAATCGAACTCGAAACATGTCTGTGATGAGAGGTGGCGGGATCTCCTGGAGGGCCCTGTACTGGCGAGCTACCCGGTAGGGGTAGTATGAAGTGATGCCAGATAAACCGAGCAATGGGACAGGGTTGTGAAATTGGTGAGCATACCGAACCTGACTCTCATGGAACCACTTAGCGTGCCATAAGAAAGCCTTGGGATCGCGGTCTTTCAAAAAATTTATCCAGGTAGAGTAATCCTTATGAGGGGAATTATTTTTTAAAACCTCAAACCTTTGTATCGGATGCATAAAGTCATCGACTTGAAAAAGCTGCATGAGGTGCCCAAATCCTCTCAAATGAGATAAAAACCAAATTTGCAAAATTTCTGGGGCGGCCCGCATGATTTTATCATCATTTTGTTTAAAACGGTTTAAAGACAAAAATATTTCTGCCAGAACCGAATTAACATAACCCAGACCGGTGCAAATTTGTTTGGCCACATACACAATTGAGGGGTTTATTGAATTTCTGCGATGAAGGAAAATGACACACCCAACAAAAGCAAGGATAAAATTTTTAGCTTTTTGGCTCGTGGGTTGACTTTCAAAACGCTCATTTAAGAAAAACCAGGGGCAGGCATTGCAATGAGCTTTAACGACTCTTTTCACGGTATTGCTATCGGTCCGCAAAAACTGGGATAATTCGGGTAGAGGGGACACACCCAAAAGTGGTTTGATGAGCTCAGATCCCAAAGGCTTTCCAATGACAACACTATAATCTTCCAAAGTCGGGGTCATCTCAAACTTACCAAATATGAAAGTGGATGTCTATGGGCACCATAAATGTGCTAATGCTTGCATCATACCATAATGGATGTTGATCTTGAGCAGTGGGAGTAGGCGACCAATTCTTGCTTTGACATACTGTTGGCCATTTTGATCGAGTCGGTCCCACCATGCCAGAAGCTCTTTCTTAGGAGTGGGGACAAATTGGACATTAGCTTTTCCCATCGTGTATAGAATGCAATCAACGGGTGGCCTAACAGTAAGAAATCAAATGAATAAGTAGGTTGCATAATAAAATGAGAAGGGACAGAATATATACCTTTCCTTGAACCATGGCAATCACAACGACATGCACATGAGGAGTGAGGTTCGATTTCAATCTAGACTGGCTCAGCAAAATGAAGTTAAAAGGGTGCCTGACCGTCGCAGTCTTGCGTTGGTGTCAAGTCCTTTTAACCTCGGTCAAATCGAAAGGAATATCTTATAGTCACGCGAATAGCGGCTAAAGATATTTCTTTACGATTTTTTAGAAATAAATTTCGGGGAAAAGAAAGGCAACCTATACATCGCGGGCTCGCGTTCGAGGTCGTATCTTTCTTAACACCATCCTAAAATGTCCTATTGCGGCCCAGGTCCGGCAACGTGGTTGTGTGTGCAATAGTGTAGTGCTAAATCATTAGAGCATGCACAACAATTTATAAACAATCAATTCGAACCTGCAAGAACAAATAACACCTTAATGTCAGGATCATACCTGGAGACCTTACTACTAAACAAAAATTATTTTTGAACAGGATAAAAAATTTGGCTTAAGTCCACTTTTTTTTTTAAAATGCAAGTCCCCAGTGGAGTCGCTAGTCTGTCGCGACCGACCTCTCGCTCTTTTTTGAATACATGCAAAAGGGAGTGGGGCTCGCCTGTTACGTGCTAAGTCTAGGTTTGGGACTTAACTCGGTCTCTTCCAAGCCCATACCATATCGCGACTTAGGGTTTAGGTTTTTAACATGCAAATGGTTTATACCAAGGAGTCGCCACTAATCGATTTGGGGTGGATCGATTAGAAACCCAAATAAGGTGATGGGAGAATCACCCTATTCCTGCGAACCAGAGATTAACTGAGTTCGGGGACTTGATTACACCAGTTGGATAACTAATGCCCTTTCGGTACCTTTTTACCCTATTCATTTCATGAAAACATTTGTCAGGCAATTTAGATTGATTTTAGGACCTTTCTCCTAGCATGTGAGGTGATCAAACGAGTGCATAATCAGAAACAATTAGCAGTTAGGAACACAACAATTCATGCAGCCTAAGGTTCTAACCTTAACTAAGTCAGATGACATTCAAAACACAACAACTCATGCAATTGTGTTAAAAACATGCATAAACATACAACGGTAATAAAAATAACATGCAAAATACTACCGCGTAATCCCAGGCTTGTCTAATTTAAACAAGACAAAAACTTGCATAATAATACCACAACAAATTAAAACAACAAATATATAGCACTTAATTTAAAAGGAAAAAAAAATTGAATTTTTTTTAAAAGATAAAATAAAATAAATACGAAATTTTTTTTTAAAAAATAAAAAATAATAAAAAAAGGAAGGAAAAAAAAAAAGAAATTTTTTTTTAAAAAAAATAATAATAAGAAAGGGTCGGCGGATCCGGACCGGGTCGGAACTGACTCGGGTCAACGGATCCGACCCGGGGCGTTAACCTGGGTCGGATCAGTTGATCCGGATCGGTCGGGCCGACCCGGGTCAACGGATCCGACCCGGTCGTTGACCCGGGTCGGATCAGTTGATCCGGATCGGTCGGGCCGACCCGGGTCAACGGATCCGACCCGGGCGTTGACCCGGGTCGGGTCAGCTGAACCGGGTCAGGCCCACCCGCGTGCGCAGGAGCTGGCGAAGCCGAAAATCGGCCTCTCGCCGGTCGACCCAGACCGGCGCCACCCCCAATTCGGCTTCTGGGAACACCACCGAGCCTCACCGGCCACCTGGGTCGCCGTCCGACCGACGCTTGCCGGCCGGCGACGCAATAAAAAAAAAACGGCATCTTTGAGGCATTTTATCAAACAGATGGGGAGCAGAGCAAACAAAAGGGGATCCCGACCTGTTTCGAGGCCTCGCCGTCCTCGGGACACCCATTCTTACCTTTAGCGACGACGCACGGACGGCGGGGGACGGCGGTATGGGCCGAGACTCGCGCGAAACGGCCGGCGCGGGTCCCGACCAAACCGCACAGAAAAACAGAGAAAAACAGGGCAGTCAGGACCCGGGGGGAATCTCACCGTCGACGGCGTGTTCGGGGGCTCCGGTTGATCCGGGGGGGGGGGGGGGGGGGGAGGGGGCGGCGACGGCGACGCTGCTGGGAACCTGAAGAAGCCGAATCTCCTCTCTTTCTCTCTTTTTTCTCTCTCTGTTCTCTCTTCTCTCTCTGTCTTTGTTTTTCTTTGAAAATCGCCGACCCCTCTTAGTCTCTCTCTCCGGTTTTTATAGACGACGACGCTCACTCTTTGCCTCTCTACGTCGGCGTGACGACGGCCTGCATCGGCCTACGCCACCCCACAACTTTCATGGCCATTTGCAGGCCGGTGCAGAGCAGTGGGGAGCTGGTCTGAGAGGGGCAGAGAGGAACAGGAAGCCGAGAGGGAGGATGAGATAAGGGGAAGCCAGGAAAACGGGGAGGACGGGACTGGCAATTAATGCCAGTCCCGTCGGTGTGCCCCTTTGGCCTTCCTCTTGCCGGATAGCGACGGTGAGGAGCGGCGCCGCCGTGCGTCACGCTGCCGTCGCGAACAGGGGAAAAGAAAGCGATCGGCGCGGGGGAGAAGGAAGAAGAAGGGCTGGGCCGGGCCAGGCCTAGCCGCGCGGGGGGGAAGAAGAAGGAAAAAAGAGAAGCGGGCTGGGCCCGCGGGGGGGGGGGGGGGGGGGAAAGAAAAGAAAAAGAAAGAAGAGTGGGCGGAGGCCCATGCGAGAAAAGGAAAGAAAAAAGAAAAAGGGCCGGGTCGGCCCGGTTCGATTTTTTTTTTTTATTTTAAAAAAAGATTCTAAAATACCCTATTAATACAAATGTGCCTAATTTCTATATGCAATGCATTTAAATAGAAATATTTTTTTGTTTTAGGAATTAAAGAAAATTAATTCCTAAATTTTGTGTAATTAATTTTGGGCAAATCAAAAATAGGTGTCAACAGGGATTTAAGTGAAAGTTGGGGCCATAATTGTCACTTGACCTAAAATTTGTGCTTTTTTACTAGATAAAAAAAAGTTCGGGCCAAAATTGTCCTTCGACCTAAAGTTTGTGCTTTTTTACAGGGCAAAAAAAAGTTCAGGTCAGAATTGTCCCTCGACCTAAAGTTGGTGTTTTTTTTTAATTAACCCATTTGTTTATATTCAAAGTGGATGATTCTTAGACTATGAACTTGCGAATAAACAATCATGAACTAGCAGCAAAAATGAGCATCAAAGGTTCCCCTTTCTCCTCTCCAGTGAGCATCACTCTTCATGTCTAGAACAACAGACCAACACGCATGGAGCGCTTGTCGGATTTCAGTCATCAAGGCCCTACAATAGTTCTATATTCCAATTGAAGTTTGCTTAGATCAAGTCACTAAGACCTCAATAATCTTCTAAACCAAAGATCGCAACATTTGATCCTAGATCGTGCCATCAAGGCCTCAAAACCTGCTTGTGAGAATAATCGATTTTCATGCTCTTCATCTTGAGATCACGACATTAAGGATCTCGAATCGTTTAGGTGAGAGTATTTGATGTTTAAGTATGCTCTGAAGCTTTTGTTAGGTAAGAACACCAAGGAAATAAGCCTTCAAAGAGAAACAAGGATTGCTAGTTTAGGGTTTTATGCGGCTGCGCATTGCCCGCGAAAACACCATATACATAACCTCATCTGCTATTATCGCTCCTTAAATAACAGCTACATGACATTATTTTGACAAAGATCGACTGTGATTAACTGATATTGCTCGCGAAATCAAGAGGAGGTCCAGACCATGATCTCCGTCACGGCTTGCTTGTATATCTCTTCCACTGGGAGCACTTCTGCTTGTTGGTCCGAAGCTCCTGCAACCTGTGCAATTGAAGAAGTTGTATAGTGTCCCTCACTCAACGTTGATGTTGGCTAGGTGCATATAACACAACAAAAATAAATGCAATAACACACTGATTATAGTCACCAGTAATGCATATACTCACCTCACGTTTGTACTTCTAGCTTGGTGCTGATTAGCTTTAGGGATATATATGTTATTCACAAGGACTGCTTGTGAATCCAGTGAGACTGACTTAGTGGTTGAGGAACTTAGTGTTATAGGTTTTCTATGTGATTAAGCGCTAATGATCTCATTTTGAGGGCAATCACCCAACACTCTTAAGAGTTTTTGACTTATGCCTTGCTGGGTCCATGAGCTTATGGTTTCATGGGCTCGAGGTTTAAAGTGAGCTTTCTCGTCATTAACAAAGAAAAAAAAGAAATAGAGGTTTGCCTGTTCCGGTTTCACCTTCTGCTCCACACTTACTACGACTAATGAACCGCAGGATGGTCTTGATTTTCCTCTTATTTGGATATTTAACGAACAACAAATATCACTCCTTCATCTTTTTCTTTTTTTGGGTGTCAAATGTAAGTATTATAAAGCAGATGAAGAACAACAGCTTATGAGCATTCCCTAGCATTACAATAGAGCTAATAGTTCAAAAAGATGGAGGTAGGAAGCCTCTATATAATAGCCAAAACAACATTTATTTGGGAAGGTCTAATCTTTTGGAAGAGCAAAACTCTACCTCCTACATTATATTATCACTCACTTTATCTAATGCATAGATTATCAAATGAAAAATAAGCATAGATGATATCAGTCAGATAGGTCACAAGGTTAGGTAAACATTGCAATATAAGTTTAGCCCTTGTAATTTACTAGAGTAGTCATCCATGGTGCTATCGAACTCAAACATATGGGTGATGCTCATCAATCACTTGATCCACTTGAGTCTAGGGCAAAGTTCTAGCAAAGTTGTTATTTCAAATATACAAGTAAACAATCAATATACTTATGAAAATAGCGTATAATTTTGTCAAGTTAGTCTGCCACGCTAAATTGATGTACTGAGTTGTGTATACGAAAGATTAGATGCAGGCCTTTAGAAAAAAAGGGTTATATTCAATATCCAATTTTGTTATGCTTTGAAAATGACATCCTTAATGCTCAAAAACGTGCGTGCGAATGCTATACACTCCTTTCATTGCATAACTAATTTCATCTTCTTTTTTATCGGCAAAATGTGGACCAGAACACAGCAAGTAATTTATAGCGCAATAGCATTTCATGAATTAATATTGGAGAAGTAAAGCAAACTTACTTGAGCTTGAATCATGTAAAGGCTTCGGCTATAATCCGACGACATCTGGGCGGACACCACTTGGATCTTATGCTTCTCCAACACATAGCAGATACCAGTAAAGAGTCCAGGTTTTTTCGGCGAGCAGATGCTGATCATCGCTTCATCGCCGCAGATGTTCAGAACAATGTTGGGAGAAGACCAAGTTTGAAAGGCTATAGGATGTCGAAAGACCGGAGAGGATGCCGAACTGCTTGCAGCACTGAGGGGCAAATTGCCGGCAGACCCTTGACTGGCCAAGAAAGCTTCCCTTGAATCGCAAACTAGACTCTGGGAATTGACTGCAGTCGACGGTTCACAGTTAAATATGGCAGTGCAATGGTACTTCTCATGCTTTTGCTTCTGTAGATTTTGGAGAGTGTTCTCCAGGTTTTTGATGTGGTTCACAGCTTCATCCACTATGGTAGATTTGTCAGCCTGCAATAGAAAAATCATTGTGTATAGAGATAAATAAGACTTAAGAACAGTTACAGGTTACATCTGGGTATGTCCATTGATTGTATGTATTAGTGCAATTGAAATCAAAAAGTAGCAACAAAAAATTTATCTCTTAAATACTTTTATCCAGGCAATGGGAAATGTTGCCCAGTTAAATTTAGTTTCTCCAACAACGGAATTCAATTGATAAAAATCATCATGTACTTCATTAATCAGGATAGGTTATGCAAGTCTCACAATACTAGCCAATGATGATGTCATTATTAAATTTCTACAAATACTGAGTATGTAAGCATTAAATGCAAGTGAAAGCAAATCTTCTTCCATCAAGAGCTCGAGACCATTATCGTTTCCCATATGATTTTCCTCTCATTTTCTGAATGAGCTTTCCCTTCTCTCTCTCTTTCTGGGTGAGGCAAAATAAGCAAAAGATAGAGGCGACCAACAACGAACTTACCTTGGGAGGAACATGAGGAAGTAAAGCATGAAGGTTAGCAAACATGTTCCTCATCCTCTTCCTCCTCTCTCTCTCTGTCCATATGTGTATCTCATGGTCCGACTCGCCCACAGTCTTCCCTCCATTCGCAGCGAGCTCGCCTTGTCCGTTCTTATCCTGACCTTTGATCATGTCGCGGGATCGCTTCCTAGTTGGCACTGGGTCGGGCTCCTTTTCCGCCGCTGCCCGGGCATGAGAGCTAGAGCAAGCAATCTTCTTACCTAATCTGTCTCCAACGTTGCCAGAATTATCAGGGTTTGCAAAATCCCATGATGGGTTCTTCCATGGGAAAGTTACATAATCTCCTTCTTCAGACATGGCAACAACAACAACAATGGTTTATGTTTGGAGAGAGAGAGAGAGAGAGAGGGGTGAAAAGTAATCAAAAGAGGAAGATGATATATAGAAGAAAAAGAGGAAGCAATGGGAAAGACGGAAGCTTGCTAGGTTAATCAAGACTGATCTATAAATTTAGCTCATTAAAATAATGCGGCAAATTGTGAATGGATCTTCATACAAGCGGGTCATATCTAACTATCAATAAACTCGTCGCTAAGTAAATTAATTTCGTAAATCTATCTTAATAAATTTAAAAATATTTAATTTTTTGCCTTTTTGGCCATAAAGTAGAGGCGATTCACTTGGCTTAAAGCAGAGCCCAAAATACAATCATGAGACTAATGCCGTTACTGGCTTCAAAACGAAAACGCACGGCCATAAGAGAATAGGGACAAAAAGATTTCTCTCTCCTGGGGGGGGTCCCCTTGGACCGATGGGCCCCATGAAGCCTAACCAAGCCAATTCTCAAGTTATGACGGAAATTACTACTCTGCCATTGCCTTGGGAGAGTACTTCATTTTGAATTGAGTTGGGGTTGATCATGTTACTTTGATAGCACTTGTTAATGTCAGTTTGGAGGAAATTATCCGACCAGTTCTAAATTCGTTGTACGAATGCCAATTCGGTACTAAAATTTTCAATTTTGCACCAATTTAGTCCTTAACCATTTTTACGAAATTTCAGTGTAGTATTTCCTATCAATTTTTGCTAGAAATTGCTGACGTGACGGTGTGCCATATGGTAAGTCATCACCGGGCATCCTATGTGGCGTACTATCACATTAGTAGTTTTCGGAAAAGATTGACCGAAAGGACAACATTGGAATTTTGCATAAAGGTTTAGGACAAAATTGGCAAAATTGAAAAGTTTAAAATTGTATTGGCATCGATACTATAATTTAGGAGTGATTGGGTAATTTTCCCGATCAATTTGCATAGTTGGAGATTTTTCACTATTAAATAAGTTAAACTCTAGAGTTGCAAATGTTTCAAGCTAAGTCCAAACACTCTTGCATGTAAAATTCGACTTATTTGTTAATGAATTGAAAGTATTTCAGATTATAACGATGGATCGAGTCTTTGGTTATTAATGAAAATTTTGTTTGATTCAAAAAGTTCGCGTCTTTTGTCGATCACGAAATTTCTGCTGATTTAAATGAAAGTGCGGGTGTTACATTTCGTCACATAATGATGAAATGTCGGGATTCCCGCCGACCTTATTTATTGTTTATTGCGTACACTGTACAATCAAGTAACGCTCCATAGAACAAGATACAAAAATTTCATGAAAATGAACCTTAGAATAAGGAAGAAAAAATCAAGGGAATTACTAGGTGAATAATTCAATTTTGCACTTAAACGGTGTTTTACAGGATGAAACTTTTAAATTTACTTCAAGCGAAATCTTTTTCTACCTTACAAGTTTTATGTTCCTGCCCATTTCTGCATGGTAGCTAACATGTTATTCTCATGACTTTATAGCATTACATTGTTAATTAGATAAGGCATAAAATTCCAATTTTCCTTAATATATATTATAAAGGACTATATTGTGACAAAAAAAACATGAATAAATATATAAAAATATGTCCTAGGGGGAGGGTGGGAGAGGTGTCCACTTAACTTTTGAAAGATACGTACTGTGTTGATGCATTTATTAAGAGATATATTTCACATGCTTCCAAAAAAGGTACAGTATTTATTGTATGCCATTTATTAAGAGTATATATTTAGCATGACGTAACAGTATTAATTGGCAATTATAATTGAATGAATATTATTTATTCATTAATTTTTTTATAAATAAGCAAAGCTAAGAAAAATCATTTGGAGCAAATGCTTGCTTAAAATTACTTGCAGTGAGTATTGAGTGATTTGGGGCCTAGGGAATTGGCGCTACCAGATTTTTCAATACTTTTTTTTTATTTTCTTTATTTTTTTAAAAAAGTATATTTCCATTTTCTTAATCGATATATTAAAATACCATAGCTGTCGATATTTTAGATCAAAAGAATTTGAAAATGAGTGTGGTATGACTTAAAGATATGGTATGTCAAGGTTGAACTCGGTGAAAAGACCTTGATTTTTGTTGTTATGGTAAAGGCTTTATTTGGTCTTATTAATAATTACCTTTAATAAATAAGTTACATTAACAATTAAGTTCTGCTACACATTTTCAAGTGTCGATATTTCTGATGCATAAGCTTGCATGTTACTCACTTCGGTTGAATATGTTAAACATTCAGTCCATTAAGTTTTAACCGGTGCACTAGCACGGGGAATAAGCGGTAGCAAAACATGGTCGAGAGATCATTACGAAAAATTTCGCAATAGAGGAAAAGAAAATGAAAACTTACTTAAATTATAATGACAAATAATTTTAAATTTATTGACCACATATTTAATATAAAATGAACACTGATATTCTCAAAAATATAATTCTCATAAAATCATATTACTAACAACCTGGTAACTTTATTGTATTTACAAGAGAAATATAAACAAGAGAAGAATTATTTTTCCCTTACCAAAAAAAAATATAAACAAGAGAAGAATTAGTTCTAATGTAGGTATTGGCATATTGCATTCAATTTGTAATGTTTTCTTTTGAAATGAAAATTTGATTTGTAGAAAAAAAAAACAATGAGAAGAATTCTCTTCCTTGAAGTTCCATAGTTCCACAAAAAAAAAAAAGTCCCAAAGGAATAATTGGGCCCCCATGCCTAATTAAAACAAGTTCATTTATGGTGAAATCACTGACCTGCCATTGGCTAGGAGGGAGAGAATCCCACACAATCATATTGAGAACTGGCAATTAGAATTGGGAGTGGAGCTGAGCAAGGTCCCCAAGATGTTGATTTGAATTAATTATATTAATTGCATGAGGCAATAATTTAAACTTCAATTTGATTGCACTTGTTTATAATATCAAATCCATCTTTTTATTTTCTTCACAGTATTGCATAAATCAGTTAAGACTTTCGCGTAATTAAATAAATAGTTCTTGATAATTGATGCGTTGTTCAAGAAATGACCAATGGCAAGGTTGGGCGAGAACTTCCAATGTAGCACTTGGTATTTGGAAGGTAGATTTTTAGATTTGAATCTAGGGACAACAGTTTTCTTCTCCGTCTCAGATGAACTTTTTAGCTTTAGTTCTGGAAAATCTTGTTTAACAAACAAATTGTTTTTGTCCCTTCTGTTCCGTTCCAATTCCGAGTGGTAGCCAACACGGTATTTCCGTGACCGTGTGGTAAACGTTACATAACTTTTCTTTTTGATTTTTCAGTATGAGGAAGTTTATCTCTCTCTCTATCAATTATCTCTACCTTGTTAGGGTTTACAGATACAGTGTCACATTTATATCTAACTTTACAACGATTACGGATAATAAACCTCGTCATCAAATCATCACAATGAGTAATGATAGCAAATAAGAATAAGTTGTGATAAAGATGCGTATGTGTAAAAAAATATGTGTGCGCATAAGAATTCCTGTAAAACTAACTTCTAGATGGATCATGCTATGTGATGCATTTATTACAAGTCGTCGAGAGCATTTGGACTATTGTCATGTTAAGCCTCACTTTCTAAAGCTGAGCCACAATTGTAGATATGGAAATGTGATTAAAAAGTAAAGGCACCTTTTAAGACTTATTAAATGTGTCTTCTGGTGATGGCTAAGTAAGTATAGGAAAAGAATATCAAAAGTACCAATTTAGTTCTAAACTTTTCATTTTGACTAATTTGTTTGGTCAAATTCACTTTGGCTAATTTAGTTCTAAACCTTTTGATAATATGCCAATGTAGTCATTTCGACCAATTTTTGCTGGCAATCGCTGACGTAAATACTGGTCGTCCTACGTGATATGGCTGGCGTTGACATGAACAATTTTAGCAATTTTAAAAAAAAAATATTCTGAATTTTTCTTTTTTTTCTTTTCTTACCTTTTTTTTTCCTATGTCCTTTCGCCGATTACCAAGGCCTCGGTGATATTCTAGCAAAGGTCACTAGTCACAAGCAAGGGTTGTGACGCTTCGCATGGATCTAGGTGAGGGGTTCCTCGCCATATCCAACCCTCACCAGATCTGACTCTTGCCTGTGGTTGGCAAAGAGACTCGGTGACCGGCGGAGGGAAATAGGGAAAAACAGAAAAAGGAAAGAAAGAAAAAACAGAAAAAAATTCAGAATATTTAAAAAATAAAATTACGTTGTCAAAATTGGCCGGAAGGATTAAATTACCAAATTGAAAACTTTAACATTGAATTAGTATCCGTAGAATAGATTTAGGATTTTTTTGGTAATTATCCCTCTAAGTAAACTTTCTACTAAATATAAGTCGTATGCTTGTGCGACCATTTTCTTTGTTTTTTATTTTTATTTTTTATGAGGGCGTGATGCAAGCGTCGCCGGACTAATCCTGGGAATCCATGCAATTGCTGCTGGTCTATGGCCCATTTTGGGCTTTGCCAGGGCCGGTGGCCCACAAGGAATCGGTAGCACTCCGAGCATAGAAGCGATCGAACTCGCCATGTTGATTCAAATGCCCGAGCCCATCCCTTATTAAGTGTCCAAGCATACTTAACAATTTGATCTTCAAAATATTTATTGCTTATGTTACAACTGGAAAAGACAATGCATACGAAACTTGTCGGAAAAACATCCATATGAAATTTTGAATATACAAAAACTATACTTAGTACTAATGTTTACTAGGGGTGTACAAAGAAACCGAGAATCATCCGGACTGCTCGGAATCAGACCGGACCGGCCCAGAACCGGCGGTTTCCGTGAGGACCGATCCAGTTCCTGGCTCTAATTTACTAGAATCGGTGAGTACCGGTATGGTTCCCGATTTTAGGCGTGGAACTGCCCACTAGCTCACTCGGACCGGACCGGTAATAAATAGATGCATATATATAATTTTTTAGAAAAATTTCAACCAAATAAAAAAGAAAACATTTTTAAAAAAATGAAAA